GGAAGATGTCATTTTCAGGCAATATATATGTATGTAGATACCCCCAAAAATTCATAATTAAATTATTAGAGTTAATAAGTAAATTTTACAAGGCTGCTGTATACAAGTTTAGTTCATGAAAATCAATTATATTTTTGTATACCAGCAATTAAAATATCCGTTAAATATTAGTTACAAGAGGAAAAAGATACCACCATAACAAAGCATCAAAGATATATTATCTGGGAATAAATCTATAGAAAGAAGTTTGAGACTTCTACACAGAAAACTATAAAATGTTATTGAGAGAAATTTTAAAGGAACTAAATAAAGGGCAATATTTTGGCAAATTTAGGATTGTAAAAATATCATTTCTTCACAAACTGATTATATTCAATTATGGCAGCCACTAGCTACATGTAGCTATTGACCACTTGAAATGTTTCTACTCTTAATTGAGCTATGTTGTTAGTATAAAATGCACATGGGAAATCAAAGACTTAGTATGGGAAAAAGAATGTCAAATATCCTGATAATTTGGGCCAGCCCGTGGCTCACTCGGTAGAGTGCGGTGCTGATAACACCAGGGCCCTGGGTTCGGATCCTATGTAGGGATGGCCGGTTTGCTCACTGTCTGAGCGTGGTGCTGACAACACCAAGCCAAGGATTGAGATCCCCTTACCGGTCATCTTTTTAAAAAAAAATAAAATAAAATAAAAGTACTGATTACTTCTTGATGTGATAATATTTTGTATGTATTAAATTAAAAATTTTAAAATTAATTTTACCTGTCAAGTTTTTACTTTTTCAATGTGGCCACTAGAAAATTAAATAAAATAAAATAAAAGTACTGATTACTTCTTGATGTGATAATATTTTGTATGTATTAAATTAAAATTTTTAAAATTAATTTTACCTGTCAAGTTTTTACTTTTTCAATGTGGCCACTAGAAAATTAAAAATTACGTGTGTGTTTCAGGTTTGTGGCTTACATTATATTTCTACGGGACAGGGCTGGATTATCAGTTCAATGCTACCTCAGTCAAAATCACAAAGCATTGTGTATATTTGTGAAAAGTGATATGCTGATTCTAAAATGTATGTGGTTATGCAAAGGGCCGAGAACAATGACAGCACTCTTTAAGGAGGACAAGATGTGAGGACTTGTTCTCCCACAGGGTTTCTAAACTTTGGTGCTATTGACATTTTGACCAGATAATTCTTGAGCCCACAAAGTGGCAAATGGAGGACTGCGCATACATTGTACAACGTTCAGTTGGCCTCTACCCACTCGATGTCAGTGGCAGTCCTCCACTCATGAAAAACCATTCATGAAAACCAAAAAAGTTTTTTCCAACGTTGCCAAATATCCCCTGCAGTGCAAAATTGTTCATGGTTGAGAACCACCATTTACTGGGTATCAAGTCTTACTATAAAGCAACAGTAATTAAAACTGTGTGATACTGGGACAAAGATAAACAGTTAAATCAGTGGAATACAATAGGAAAAAAAACCAGAAAAAGACCCTCACATGCATGGACACTGATCTTAATATTGTATTCCAATGGAACATCCATATGGAAAATAAGTTTAATCTCTTAACACCACACATGGAAGTCATCTTGGGGGGGGTTTAGGCACAAATATGAAAGATAAAATGATAAAGCTTCTAGAAAAGACTATAATAGATTAACTTCATACTCTTGATATATGGAAAGATTTTAAAAATACATAAGCAATAATCATGAAAGAAAAGAATGATAAAGTGGAATGTACTAAAATTAGGAATTTCTGTTGATCAGAAAACATTGTGGAAAAGAAAGTCATAAAGTGGATGAAAGTGTGTCTAATGCATGTATAGCAGAGCTCTTCTATCCAGAAAATAATCTGTAAAAATCAGTAGGAAAAAGACAAATATCCCAATAGAGAAACTCAAGGCATTTGAACAAGCGTTCCACAAAAGTAGAGATCCACATGGCCAGAAAGCATATGAACACATACTCAGCTTTCTCAGTTATCAGGCAGTGGCAAAGCAAAACAAAGCGAGTGGCTGACATGTAAAAGACTAGCAACACTAGGTGTTGAAGAGGAGAGACAGCCTAGAACTCTGATGCACCACAGGTGGAAGTGTGGCAAAATAGCTTTGGAAGTCATTTGGCAATAACTGCCAATGTTGGATGGGTGCATCTCCTGTGACGCAGCATTTTCATATTTAGGTAGATCCTGGAAAACGTGTGCCCTTGTGCATCAAGAGACAAGTACGGTGACACTCATAGCAACATTATTTTGTAAGAGACCCAGAGTGGGGGGGTGGGTTCCCTTAATAGTAGTATATTCCTGCAGTGGGGCACTAAATGGTAATGAAGTGTGTCTGCAGTTGCACAGAACTGTATGAATGGGTCACAGAAACAGCAAATTCATTTGAAGGAATCCAGACAGAAAGAATATATGTCACAACAGCATTTTATATAATTTCCTTAAAACTAACAGCAGCATTGTTTTATAACAGCTCAAATCTGGAAATAATCCAAATGTCGACTAACAGGGCATGACTGAATAAATTGTTGTGTATTCATGCAAAGAAAATGGACAAACCTCAACATGCAGCGACATGGGTGAATTTTATAAACAGTGTTGAGTGATAGAAGCCAGATGCAAGAGTGTATGATTCCATTTACATAAATTTATATAAATTTTAAACACAGGCGAAAAACTAAACTGTAAAGTTGGAGTCAGGATATTAGATATTTTTAGGGTGAAAGGAGTGGATAGTGCCTGGGAGGAGCAGGAGGGGTGTCTGGGTGGTGGTTATTTTGCTCTTACCCCTTGAGCTATGCGTCCGTGTTTCATGTGCATTTCTCTTTGCATGTTTTATCTTGCAATTTAACAAGGCTGAGCAAAGTGCAAAGGCGCCTGCTCTGGTTTCCTGCTGCTTGGGTCCTCTTCCCAGCTGCTCTCCAGTTGTGCAGCTTTGGGCAATTTACCTAATGGCTCTAGGCCTCAATTTCATATCTGTAAAGTGAAGGTAATAGTGAAATCTACTTTGTAAGATTTGGTGTGAGGTTAGACAAATACTAGAATCTTTGCTAAGGTACAAAACACTTTATAACAGCAGCTGGCACATAGTAAGTGCTGACTAACTGCTAACCTCTGCTAGTGTTTTTATTGGTATCATTGCCAGCTTATTTGTCCAAAGAAATTGGAAACTCCCACGGGAATTACATTATATTTATGTCTATCGTGGCTCTTCACATAGTTGAGTTTTTGTTTAGGTCTCTCAGAAAAGTTTATTTTATTTACCTTCCTGCATGCTGTTTCATAAACCAATCACTAGGTATTTTATAGATTTTATTCTATAATTGTAAGTAGACTATTTTTTGCCTTGTATTTTGTAATTGGTCATTACTGGCATGTAATATCTAATGGTTGGTATGACTTACTGCTGCCAGGCTTGGTTCTAAGTGCTGCATGGATTAACACTTTTAATCCTGTGTAAAACCCCCATCTTACCCAGGTAAGAACTGAGAGCAGAGAGGTAAAGATACCTACTACATGGTCTGGGACTCAGTCTGGCCCCAGAGTCCACATTTAACCCACTGCTCCATGCTAGGAAAGCTGTTGAGTTTTATATTTTTATTTAGTAACTGGCCACTTTACTCTAATCTTATTTTTTAGTTGATTCTCCTAGTTTTCCAAGAAGGTGTTTATATTATTTACAATTAATTAGGGTTTTTTTTTTTTTTTTGATATTTTTCTTTCCAATAATTCTCGTCCCTGGCCTTATTGCTTTGATTATAACTCGCAGGAAAGTGTTGGGAAAAAAAAAATAGAGTGCACAGTCTTCTGTTGGTCTGACTAAATGGGGATGTCTCTTTTTTTTAACCACTAAGAATGACATTGACTATCAATTGGAGAATATTTTTCTTTATGTTAAAGGATGTGTTTTTCAATGTTTGTATTTACCAAATGATTTTGATTTTATTATGTTTTGTTTTAAAATCAGGGATGGGTTTGAAAATATATTTATCAAATGCCTTTGGATATCTGTGAAGATGATCACATGGTTTTTCTGTATTGAACTATTACTATGATGAATTATGTCACTGTATAGCCTAATATTCAATCATCTTTGCATTTCTAGAATTTTTAACATAGTGATGAATTTTATTTTCTAAAATTTCTACAAGATTGAGGTTTTCTACTATTTTTGTTAGATTTTGGCTTTGGAAGAATTCTAGGTATGTAAAGAGAATCTAGACAATTTCAGTCTTTTCTTGCATTATATACTGCATTTTTAAAGGAACTTTTGAGTATGAGGGTACTTTAGAAAGTGCATGGAAAGATTCATATTATCTTTTCATTCTACTTTCCGCAAACTTTTTGCAGTACCCTCATATATATGAGTAAACATGCTTGGAAAACGCTGTTTTCTGGTGTGGCTGCCTAATAATCTTTAAGATCTCTTAAAAGAAAGACCACTAAATGATGAGAAAGCAGGAAAGAGGACAAGAGTAATCAATAGTTCTTGTCATTAACAACTTGAGTGGTTATTACCTGAAAGCCTAGAGGTTATTTGAATTAATTTTACGTGACCTAAAACCATTTGGTCAATTTATTGTTCCTTAGCAAATCTAATTCAGTGTGTGTGTGTGTGTGTGTGTCAGGATACCTTTGGGTGCCTAACACAGTGTTGGATATTATTAGGAGAGAAGAGAAATCTGGCAGTGCCCGTGCACTCCGTAAGGCAGGTGAGAATCTTATACAGGATACCTTTGGGTGCCTAACACAGTGTTGGATATTGTTAGGAGAGAAGAGAAATCTGGCAGTGCCCGTGCACTCCGTAAGGCAGGTGAGAATCTTATACACTGTTTACAGTCTCATCTTTTCCCAAATTATAACTTCAGTTTATGAAAGTTCATGCCTGACCTGGTTTCTCTATGAGTTGAAAAAGCTTAGGAATCGTGGGCTAGTAGGTGACTACCATTGAGATAAAAACAAAGCTGGATTTTCCCTTGTTTCAGCAACAGCGCACCGTCTACAGACTGACGCTGGTGAAAGCCTGGAATGTGGATGAGCTGCAGGCCTACGCCCAGCTTGTGTCCCTGGGGAATCCTGACTTCATCGAGGTGAAGGTAAGCCCTGCTGGCTCATATCACTCCTTCTACCCTGATTCTTTGTTGGCGGCTGTGGAGTTAAAATCTTTTAAAACCCCAAAGGAGGTCCCAGGTATTTTTATTTATTTATTTATTCATTCAGCAATATTAATCAAGAACCTGGCATTGTCCTAGGCATCAGGGATAACAGCAGAAAAGAAGACTAAGCTCTTGCTAATATAGAGCTTATATTTTAGTGGGAGTTAGATAATCAACAAAAAATGAATAATTAAAAATGACACAGTGACATTAGTATGTCGAGAAGTAAAATTGTTTTGTAGCGTAAATTGGTTGGCTTTTAAAGAAACTTTTACTATGGGAAATTTCAAACATAAACAGAAGAAGAGAGACTGGTCTAAAGAACTCCTATTCATCCCTCACTCACCTTCCCAGATCATCAGCTCGTGACCAGTCTTGTTCCACCTAGACTGCTACCCATTTTCTCTGCTCTTATCCCAGATTATTTTGAAGCAAACCCCCAACATTATATCATTCACCTATAACTTATTTTTTAGTATATATCCCTGTATTAGTCCATTTTTGTGAGTATTATGTTATAGCAAGAGAACACTCAGGTATTCTGAGTAATTTATTATTTTATTCTGACTGGGTAATAGAAAAGTGGTTGATTTGGCTTACAATTCTGGGACAGTTGCATCTTGTGCGGGCCTCAGGCTGCTCCCACTCATGGTAGAGAGTACAGCCAAGTACAACCACCCTATGTAAGGGGATTGCACAGGAAGGGGATGAGGTGGGAGAGGCTCTTTATAACAACCAGCTCTCAAGTGAACCAAAAGAGCAAGAACTCACACTACTCTCCTATAGGGCATTAACCTATAGGTCATGAGGGATTCCCCACTTGACGCAAACACCTCCCACTAGGCCCCACTTCCCAGCACAGCCACACTGGGAATCAGATTCCAACATGAGTTTTGGTGGCATCATTCAGACTATAGCAATTCCTAGAAGATGTGAACCCTTTTTAAATGTATTCAGAGTAACAGGCTGAAACATAAAAAATTTTAACTAAAAAGTTTTAATTATTAGAACATAGAGGTTTCAGATTTTACTGATTATTTCTTTTTATTTAAATAGTATTTTTGAATCAGGATCCAGATAATGGCCATACATGGTAACTGGATTGTTTTTCTTTTAAGTTTCTTTTAATCTGTCAGTTCTTCTTCCATATGCTTTTCCCCTTGTAATTTATTTTGTTATAGAAAATGGATCATTTGTTCTGGCTCATTCTCCATATCTTTGGTTTAGATTTTATTAATTACATGTTTCTTGAGCCCTGTATTTCCTGTGGATTGGTCAGGTTCAGGAGTGTGTGTGAGTTTGTGTTTCAGGAATATTTTGTTGTGGACATTGTATGCTTCTGTCAAGAGGTACATCATGTCTGAATATTTTTGCATGTTTCTTTGGGATGGGTTCCTAGAAGTGGATTGCTGGGTCAAAGCGTAAAATTATATATTGTTTTGCTAGATATTGTGGTTGACTATTTTAGGAAGGCTTTTCTGAAAAGGTGACTTCTTAAAAACTGATACCTTAATAGTAAGAAGCAACCCAATATGCATAGGCTTGGGGTAAGAGCACGCTGAACAGATGGCACAGCTAGTATGCAGAGGTCCTGTGTGAGCCTAGGGGAGCTGTTGAGGTTGGTGGTGGTGCAAGATGAATCACAGATGCGTGCCGGGGGCAGATTTCATTTGGACTTTCAAGGAAAGATAAGAGAATTGAATTTTAAACTAAACTTAATGGTAAGCTTTTTAAATTCTGGGTGCACTAGGAAAGGGTTTTAAGCTGGGGAGTGATGGGATCTGATGATTTTAAAAGATCACCCTGCTGGGGCCGGCCCGGTGGCGCACTGGATAGTGCGCTGCTTGGGAAGCGTGGCGGCGCTCCCGCCCGAGGGTTCAGATCCCACATACGGACCGGTTCCCGCTCACTGGCTGAGCGAGGCACGGGAGCAACACCGAGGGTTGCGATCCCGTTGCCGGTCCCCGGTCCGGTACGGGGGCAACACTGAGGGTTGCGATCCGTTGCCGGACACGGAAAAAGACAAAAAACAAAAGACAAAAAAAAAAAAAAGATCACCCTGCTGCTGTGTCCTGAGTGAATCACAGACGGCAGTAGAATTAGGCAGACTAGCTACCAAGTTGCTGCTTAACGCAAGCAGGAGATGTGGTGGTTTGGGGAAGGTCAGCAGTAATATAGCTGGAGAGCAGAGGGTGCATTTAGGGTAAGTTCCAGAAGTAGAACCAGTAGAATTTGTTGCCAGAGTAGATGTATGGGGTGAAAGGAAAAAGGAGTGAAGAACGGCACCTGGGCTTTTGGCATAAGCAATTGTGTGGAGGGAGGATCTGTTTCCTGAGAGAGAGAAAACCAGTGGGGAGGTGGGGGGGGCAAATTTGGGGAGAAATTTTATGAGTTCTCTTCTGGTTGTATTAAATTTGAGATATCTTTTAAATATCCAAGTGTAGGTTCACATAGGCCCTAGGTCATCCAGGCCTGGAGTTTGGGGGATAAGGCAAGGCTAGAAATGATTTGGAAGTCTCAGCATGAGATGGTAGTTACAGCTGTGGAGTGTTTAGAGGCAAACGGCTTTTGGGCAACAAAAAAAGTCTACAAGAAAGTCCACAAAGTGGTAGAAAGTGGCCAGAAAATCTACCTTGTCTCTGAAGGCCAACTCCACTTTTCTCAGTTTATGTTTTTTTTTTTCCTTTTTGTCTTTTTTTTGTGACCGGCAACGGATCGCAACCCTCAGTGTCGCGCCCGTACTGGACCGGGACCGGCAACGGGATTGCAACCCTCAGTGTTGCGCCCACACCTCGCTCAGCCAGTGAGCAGCCGGTCTGTATGTGGGATCCGAACCCTCGGCAGGAGCGCCGCCGCACTCCCAAGCGGTGCACTGTAGCAGTGCGCCACCGGGCCGGCCCTCAGTTTATGTTTTTGAAACTGGATGCTGTGCATGTAGTGTCGGAGGCTATCAGCCTCATGGCTGTCCTGTCGTGTGTGCAGCTCTTTGTGTTACTGTGTGCCCTGGGGAGGTGGGGACAGCAGCCCACGAAGTGCTGCTGTCCACGTGTGTAGGTGCTGTCCCGGGGCAGCTCAAAGATGCTCTTTTCTTCTGAAATTGCTCTTAATTTCAAAAGGCTGCTCTTGGCAGGAGCTCTAATAATGCAGAGATACAAACTACATCTGAAAATATATGCGCTAACTTAAGAAAACCTTGCCAACATCAGAGATTAGTGGTGTTTTAATTTATGATTTAGCTGTTAAAGAATGTTGCCTCAAATTATGTCGCAGTAAAACCCACGTTATTATATAGCAACGTGGCTGGATCCCACAGTCAATTTCTTTTATTTCCCTCCTTTTCCCTTCCCCCTTTCTCTCTTTCTCATTCTTTCTTTCTCTTGCAGTCATGTTTTCTATAATGAATGAGGTATTTTATAATCTGAAAAAATTTAATAAATATTATTTTTTAAAGGAAGATGGCTACTTGGTAAACAGTAATTCTCTGATGGGTACTTTTGAGCTTGGCAAACTGTTAACATCACTAGGTAATAGGTAAAGCTTTCTGCCTATAACAGCATAGTTTCTTTCAAACAAGGTTTCCAATTTACTGTTTTATCCCTGCATTCAGCAATAATTTTGAGCTCTCTTCATATGCCAGGCCTCATTAAAACACTGGAGATAAAGGAGTTAATATGGATGTGGTATTTGGAAAATGAATATCTCATAGAATAGGCAAAATATATAAAAGTAAAATGAGCTATATTGAGAGATTTATAATTTAAAATTCTTGAAGAAATGTATAATCTAATCACAACTTTAAAAGTTTTTAATGATGAAACTTTACTGTGTTATATCAGGGGAAAGTGTGGGCACGATCAGCTTGTCTTGTAGAAGACCTGAGGGAGAAACGTCCTGCACTGCATGTACCTGGTCCACCAGAGGACTAGACCACCTGCTTTGTGAACATCAGCCCTCATTTGTTAATGAAGTGTCTTCCTTTTAATTTGAAGTAGCAAAAGGGATGTTTACAGCATATTCACTACTGCTGAGACAAAACTAGGTATAGAATAAAAGTTATTATCTGGTTGCGTTTTCAGCTGTCTATGGTCAGACATATTTATATAAGAAGAGTATGAAAGGGTGTATGTGAAATTGTTAATGAAAGAAAGTGATCCGAAATGCCAGGTACCGATCAAGCTTTATTAAAAAAGAAAGAATCTGCTGGGCTGTATTCAATGGAGAGCAGCAGCTGGGGCTGCCCTCAAAGTGGAGAGCAGCCCCAGGTGTCGGAGTGGGAGAGCTTATATAGGTTGTAGGGCACCAAGGGCTGGCAGATACAATCAATGAGGGGCATTATGCTAATGTGGAAGCTCCACCTGGCTAATACAGCTGGGGTGGAAAATTGTGCCCATGCAGAAGCAAAAGGGTATTTTGCAGAAGTCACAAGGCTTCTTGTAAAGGGAAGGGGAGGTTGGCAGCTGTTTTGTGCTTGGCTTTTCCTAAAATGGTGCCAGTTATGTTCAGAACCTATCATTCCTACCATTTAAGTATAGGGAGAAGGGGAAAGGGGTGAAGTCTCATTCTTCTGAAGCTACTTCCTGCTGGACATCAGCGAAGATATTAAAAAAATAAAAGATTTATGTTGGCAGGTAAAACAATTAGGTGGCAGGGTTTTGGTTTCATGTGGGGAGGCTGTATTCTTTTGGGGAAGGGTCGACAGTTCTCAGGGGCTGATATCCTCCTCCTAGGAACAATTTGGTGACCTTTTGATTGGTGAAAGCCTGCATCCACTCCTGTAAGAAATTAGAAAAACACCAGAAGAGGCAAGGACCAAAGAGAAGGATCAGTCCTTGAGGCATTTGGAAAGTGGGGCAAAAGGGGTTAATTTAAAAGGTACATTGCCGGAGACCAGCTCCAGTCGAGTTGGGGGTCCTTGAAAGAGGGATGAGGAAGCAGCGAAA